TCAGCTCCTCTATTTTTTTATCTGTGTCCTCTCTAGATTTATTAATCATGTCTTGCACTATGGGCACAATTTCTGTTGTTATTTGAGAAATTATTTCTGATTTTATTTTTTCCAGATCCTCTTTTGTTGCCAATTCATGGAGTCCAAGTAGTTGAGTATCAGAGTGTTCCATTTCATTTCCCTTTGTGTTTGCTTTAGGTGATCTGGAAGTCTGGTTTTGAGACTTTTTTAGGTGTTTTCTCATTTTGACAGGGAGCGGGTTATTGCTGTTGCCCATGCACCTCACCTCCTGTGAACTGAGTGGGGTGGTAGGGTGGCCTGGAAGCCTCCTCCTGGGCACTGGGAGTGGCTCACCTCCTGTGTGCTCTAGTCCATCATTTTTAAACTAGGCACCCACAAAGTCTCAGGTTGTGGACATAGACAGGTTCTTTACCAGAACATAACATGAAAGGGCTCTAGTTCAGTTCCCAAGGGTCATCATTTCCATCTGAAACCTCATCAGCACAACCTTCATTGTCCACATTCCTATCAGCATTCTGGTCTGATGAGCTCCCTTGAGAATTGCCCATTAAGGTCCACTGATAGCATTTTAGACTTTCTCTAGTCTGCTCCTCTCAACATTTCCAAATTCCTTCCGCAAACCAATTCTAAGTGCTTTCAGAACCACACTGTCAGGTACACACAGCACCAACACGACTTCTTGTTACCACTTTCCTATGTTAGCTTTCTAAATCAATACCTGAGATAAGCAATTTAAAAGGAGGAATGATTTATTTTGGTGACAGTCTCAGAGGTTTCAGTTCATGGTCAGTTGGCCCTGTCATTTTAGACCTTTGGGAGTGCATGGTGGTGCAAAGCTGCTTACATCATGGCAGTGTGGAATCGAAAAAGAGAGAAAAGGAGGTGCAGAGTTCCCAATATCCCCTTGGAGGACACTCCCCCAGTGACCTCAATTCCTTCCACTAGGCCCCACCTCCTAGAAGTTGCACCACTTCCCAAAGCACCCTCAGCTGGGGACCAAGCCTTCAGCACATGAGATTTGGAGGACATTTAAGATCCAAACCACAAAGCAGCCCAAAAGAACTCTGTACCTATTAGTCACTCCTCATTCCCCCTCTCCCAGCCACTAAAAACCACTAGCTTATTTCCTGTGTCTATGACATTCTGGACATTTCCTGTAAGTGGAATTGTATACATAATGTGTAGTCCATTGTGACTGGCTTCTTTTGTTTACATGTTTTCAAGATTTCATCCACGTTATGGCATCAGAACTAATTTTTATGACAAATAGCACTCCATTGCATAGATAAATGATAATTTGCCTATCTATTCCTCATTGAACTATCCATTTGTTTCAACTTTTTATCCTGCGTATATGCTGTCGTCAATATTTATGTTCAAATTTTTGGGAAGATAAATTCTTCTGAAAATATACCTAAGAGTGGAACTGTGGGTCTCCATTGATTTTTGGGGGGAGTCACTTGACCTTGTTTATAGGCTGAGCTAGGGAGCCGGTGGAGGGAGGGATATGGGATGGGGAGAAAGAGGGAAGTGCTGGAACAGAGAACAGCTACTTCCTCCTGCGTAGTCGCTCACTCTAAGAGGACCCTACAGCAGACAGACACCAACTGCGCTTTACATTTACTAGATATTCTGCACACACTTCGCACTTGCTGGCCAAGGAACAGATTCAGCGCTTGAACGAGGAACCCTCAGACCCCTCAGAGCTGGATCGCTGCTGGCAGTCTCCTTTTCTGATGCAGTTCATAGTTCTGGGGTCTCCTCTGCTTAGACCCTGGCCCACTCGGGCTGGTTTCTTCCCGTAGATTCGTTCACAGGTAGATAATGACTATTTACTGCGGAACCTGATCCAGATTCTTTGCTCCTCCGGCCATCTAGAGCTCCTGGCCGTTGCGGATAAGAAAGCATGCTTGGGTACCAGCTACAGAGCCACAGCGCGTGCGCTGTTTCCGGGCCAAGGAGGGGGCGGGAGTGGGCAGGGCCAGCATCGCCCAGGCCAATCGGAAGCGAGCGCCCCCGCCTTCCGCGCAGGTGGACCCAGTTTGACCTCAGTGGTGGGTGGAGGAAGAGGGACCAACCGCGCGGTCGCGGAGGGGGCGGGGCCTGCGCCCCGGAGGCGGGGCTTGGGGCTGTCAGTCCGGGCCCGCCGCCGCTGCCGCGGCTCCTTGCATGCTGTGGCCCGGGTGGGTGCCAGCGCTGCCGCGCCGCCCGCGCCTGGCATCCCGAGCGGCCTCCTGCGTCCCGGCCCGGCTCGCAGGTAAGGCCGGCCGCGGCTGCTGAGCCGTCGCTCCCCGTCCTTGGAATCGGTCCGCCGCGCGGGCGCCCCCTCCGGGCTGTGTCAGCGCCCAGACTCCCCTCGCCGCCCGGGGGCGGTCCCGGGGGGCGGGACGACAGCCTTCCCCATCCCCCTGCTTCTCGGGGGCCGCGCCTGCAGCCAGGTTTCCCAGCTGGCCTCGCAGCCCCAGCTTGGGGAGCTGGTCCCGAGCCCCGCTCCGGGTTCTATTACACAATCGCTGGGACTGGGGGCTGGGGTCCTCACCCCAACCGGCCCCACACCTGTCTCCGCGTCGCGCTCCCAGGCAGAGGGCAGAGACCCCGCGCGACCTCTGGGGCCGGGAAAGTTTCACTTTGTGGTACGGGTTTGTTGACATCCAATAGATGCGGGGAGATGGAGGCTGAGCGGCGAGGATGCGTTCGCGAGCAGCGTTGCATTAGCCTTGGGGTGGCCCTGGTCCAGCTTTCGCTTCCAGAAGTCCTTCCCAGAGCCCTGTTCTGGGGCCAGAGGCTGCAGCAGGGCACGCGGATCTCTCCGCTTCAATGTTAGCAGCCCTGGATTGCAGAAATCTGGGAACAGTTTAGCCTCTCGCTCCCCCGCCCTTTTAAATTTAGCATTGACATTTAGACCATTTAGGTAGGCAAATTTATTTAGCATTATCCTGACACTTAATATTTGTGAGGTGCTTTGCCATCCCTGATTAGTTAATTAACAAGGTGGCAAAGCAAAATAGATCCTGAAACGCGTGGCTAATGTCTTTTGCAACTCTTTAAGAACCACTGAGGGCTTTAGGCTGTTTTTTGTGAGAGATGCTTTTGGCCAAGGTGCTGCCAGCAGAGCTATTCAGTGCCTTTTGGTCTCTTGAGAAAGCTTTGGTTGTAATGGCAAAGCTTTCTCTGCTGTGCTGTTTATTGAGGGTCTCCAATTTAAGGCAGATTCTTTGGTTTTCTTCACTCAAGCAAAGGAGGAATTTGAAATGTTGCTGATGAAGCAGTTGAGGAAAAAGCTGAGTTTCAATAAGTTTGGATGCTGCCTGCTTTACTGGGTTACTCCTTCTGGGGAAAACTTTGACTCTTGTTCCTGCCCCATCTTCCTAGTAGGACTGTATCCAACTGGGTAGGCATTACTGGGTCCTCATTTAGGCTACCTGTGGTTTAAGACCTGCCTAGGGACATCCTCTAAGAGTGGGTTTAATTAGCACTTTCATCTGCCCATTAGGCAATACAGCTTGAAATCCTTTGTAACCAGGCACTGTTGTAGTGTTAAATCTTTAATAATACCTAATTCATTTTAATAGCGTTTCTATAATAATCTTTCTATTAGTATGCCAGTTCTGCAACACCAGTACTTTTAGTACAGAAGCAGCAATTTACTAGAAATATGATCATGGTAAAAACAATTCTTTAACAGATTTGCAGCCCACTTCACTTAGATAATTACGGCTACAGGCTAAGTTTCTTTTTAATTCCTTGGTGCAGTAGGTGTTACGGTGGTTTTGATCTGTAAGGTCTTTATGAGGTCAGGACTCCCAGTAGTAATGGTCTCAGTCACTATGTCACTTATGTATTTTTTGACTAATATATCAGTTTATGTTCCATACTGATTTCTTTTTTGGACAAGGTCCCAAAGTTAAAAGATTTAGTTTTGATTTGCCAGTCTATATTTTAAAAATGCAGATTTTAGTTATATTTGGGGGTTTATATTAGAGCTATGATAATTTTTACTAGCATGTACCAGACACTGTTTTGAAATGTTTTATAGATATTAAGTAATCTGATTCTCATAACTGCCCTATAAGAAAGGTACTGTTATATATATATATATATATATATATATATATATTTTTTTTT